ATCGCCGCCTGGTTTTTCTCAATATCGAATACTGGCGTCTGTGCTGCTATGGCCACTACCTAGTTTTGAAGGCCAACTACCTGGCTTTCAAAGCCAGCTTTCTGGCCACTAGCAATGCAAGGTCCTGCCGGCGTAACGCGTGAGAGAATGGACGCCATCAATGACAAAGCAAGGCTAGCAAACGTACAATGATCAAAGTGGTCAAGCTGAGGCGCCTGACGCGAGGTTTGACGCCGGCCTCGGCAACTTCGACAGCTTCCTGCAGGTTCTCAACATTAGGATGCTGCTCCTCATGGACATCAGACTGCATTTTGAGAGTAAGTCAGGGTACAAGAATACAAATGCGTACGAAGTCAAGAATCACCGGTCTAGCACTGTTGTCTTCATCAACAACATCGTACTGATTGCTGAGGCGATCATCTACAGTGTTCTTGATAACAAAATGTGAAAAATAGCTATCCAATGAGCTTTGATGGCTCACCATCAGGCTCTCACGTTGGCTCGGCTTTACCCTCGGGTAAGGGTGGAAGCGAAGCAAGTAAAAGTCCTGTAGCTGGGCAACCTCATGTTGCTCGTCGAAGACTGGCTCATTACAAGGGAGAACGAAGGGAAAGGATGTCGTGTATCCTGCGAGAAGACATTAGGGTTTTAAATACCAACGAGAGCTCGAAGGAAGGAAAGCGAAAATAAATAAATTGAGAGACGGGGACTAGAATTCAGGACCCCAAATTCGCAATTCCGACAGGGTTGAGTTAATATCCCCAATTCACAATCTCGACAGGGCTGAGTCAGTGCCGAATACCTGGTGAGCGCCTATCCCAGTGTGGCACTTGTGAATCTCGAGATATTTTGCTTCCGCGGAAGCAATTCTCTTTAACATCTTCATGGGCGACCCCAATCCAGAACAGGCCATCGATAGGGCAAAACGAAAGACACAAGACGGCGAGGAGGGACAGCATCACCATGATTGGGTCCCAGATTGCTCCGTCAAACCTACGGACCACGTCGAAGGAAGCAACATGCATGACACTCAACGTGTCGGATGCCTGTATGTTCGAGTTTCATGATAGGATTCGGCGACCTGTTCGACCTTTTATGTGCTGCTTAGAGCGTCATAAGAATGCTGCACAAGCCGACCCGTCCCTGCCCTGGAAAAGAGTCAGTACACACGAGGCTCGAGTGCGTGGACTCTGGAACTCTCTGTTGTATGTTACACATTATATCTCCAACAATGGGCTGATAAACCATCCTGAGCAACTGCATCCCCTGGACATTCCAAAAAAAACCGCAATAGCGAGCTACTCCCTCAGTGAGTACAGCGTGACATGTTGGTATGACAAGCGGCGTGACACAAAAAGGGGCGTCACGCTAATTCGCGTGCACGAGCCAAGGCAAGTTCGCAACCGCCACCATAACACATGAAAGCGACTCAGCAGTGTGCTCTCAAGCTCGCAAGATGTCTCAAGCAGCATTGGTATGAGTCAAGATGGTGACTGTGGCTGCATCAAAACCGCCCAAAACTCTCAACTGACGCAACAGCCTCCATCAACATCGACAGGTGGCCACCACTGCCACTCCAGTAGTAATATGCCCCAGAAAACAAAGCATGGTTGGAGTGAACAAGACACTCACCAGTGACTATAATTCGGCTCAGTGCCCCCCACATGCATCGTAAGCTGCCTCAAATCCCCACAAATTCCGTGCATCCAGATGGAAGAATGTCAAACCGAATGATCCAACATAAGAAGAAATACTGTCAAGATGCAGAAACCATGAAGATACCCAGCACCGTTGTTGGCGGGAGAACAGCGATTTTTCACCGTCGTGTCGTCCAGTTCTTGCCTTTGCCAATGCAGAAATCGGCAATGCTGAGCTGTGACCAAGCTAACATGAAGTGCGACCAAGCTGTCTTGCATGCCCTCGTAGGCGACACAATTCATCATAGGCGACTCCAATTTGCGAGGGATCCATGGGTGCGACAATGGGTATCGAAGCCGTTTCCACCGTTCTTCAAGATCAACAATTCGAGAAATTTGATTGCGAGGAGCCCTCTTGCGTTACGCTTGAGTGGTTAAAGTTGAGCTATCTGGTTTTCAGTTTTGAAGGACGATCGCGGCGGTTGGTGGGCGATTTGTGGGCGCCAGCTTTTTGTTTGGTCCACAAGCTTGAAATCAAAGTGACTTTGGACCCTAGTGTCAGGGTGGTCGCAACTCCGCTCGCTAATTCAAGCCAAACTTCTTCTGCAACTCTCCCTGGTGTTTCGGCCCAAAGGATCGATTTTTTCTCCTCAGGCGAGAAAACTTAATATATCGCGTTTTGGCCACCTCACCTGCAACAATGTTGGACAATAGTTGACTACAATAGAAAGGCCATGGCTCACCAACCTTTGGAGTCTTGGATCTCGTACTACTGATTACTCGCCAAATTCCACCGACCTACTGTCGGGCAGTCGGCTGCTTAGTATTTTTTGGCGGTTTCGATTAGCACTTGGGTCCTGATTCCAGAAGCACCACCGTCCGGATCTCGTAGTATTGCTCGAGCTCAACTGCATCGTCTATAGGAAATGACACTTCCCAGCTAAAGCAAGTCCCCATTTCTCCTGTACGGCGCTCGCTCAGTTCTTTTCAGGACGGGTGTGTACATCCCCTAGGTACCTCGTTCGTACGCGATGAACTCGTGCATCAACAGACTGAGGAGACCAAACTTCATCGGTATCGCACTCGGAGATTTTTTCACGTCATTTTTTTCCGGCGGCATCTCCCTTGTCTGACACCTTTGCGATTGTGTGAACTGGGAATATTAGTGCGTTTCGGTCAGTTAATAACACCCATTTTTGTTCTCGACAACCTTCGCTGATACCGTTGCTCTTCATTCAAATTGTAGGGCATAGTAGTCGTCCTATTTGATCCCATATGCCAGTGTCTTTCCGCATTCTAGGTATGAACGAGTAACTGAGTAAGGGTCCGATTCATAGTACTGAAACTGCAACTCCAGGATCATAACGTTCTGGTCATTTTATCGTTGCATCAAGGAAGTACAGGATTCATAGAGCTATGTTCGAGTAGACAAAGAAGAAGTATGAACCGATTGAAGTCGAGTAATTCGTTTCTTATTGCTCAGGCGTGCCTTCTAAATCAGAGAGCGATCTTCCCCTCCCATCTTTCCCTCCCATTTGGGGCACTCGCTGCTGCGACACTTGTAAATTTCGCATTCAACTTATTGGCTTTTGAACACTGATTTGTGTCATATCGCTGATAAGCGCATCCCTCACTATAGCGGGATGGATTGACAAATACGGTCCTCTGATCATCGTTCGGTTAGGAATTGAGAAGGTCATTTTTATCGGTCGTAGGCTCGACATTTTGTCGCAGGCCGCCATGATTATGATAGAGAACTCACAGCTGACCATCCTTACAGGATTGTTACCGGAGAAATATATAACGGCAAAACGACTATTGCCTTTTCACCGTTTTAGGACAGGTTCCGTCGGATGCGTAGGTCAGTAGTCCGCGATATTTACTTTCCCTCGTTTATATTACTTTTCAACGTGATGCACAACACTTCATTCACGTTTACAGCCTAAAGTAGTTGAGGCCTATCACCCCTTGCAGATGTCACGCACAAAGAACACAGTTCTCGCATTCTCGATGATTCGTACACGTCCAGAACCATGCGACAACGTAAGCGTGATCTTTTTTTGCTTGCAGGTGGTTTGAAGTTACGAAAAGGGATGGATGTGCACTCCCTTCTCGATCTTCACTTCCGTGTCCGAGCCATTCCGCAGCAGGGGGACGTGGACGTTGGCCCTTCGTTCGTGAAATATATGCTATGAAATCTTCGTTTGGTTTTGTGCCTACATTTCACAATATTCACATCACCGAACAATTCACGACGTGATTTGGGCGAGTGATCTTGACAGCTTATCGCACGAATCATGATATAGTCCATCAGGAAAACTATGTATTCCAGCTGGGACCCACGTGTACGGTGACCACTGGTAAGCATCGTGCCTCAAGATACTAAGGATTTGACGGTCACTGCCTTAGGTCGATCTCTCGCGAGTGGTAATTGGTTGCACGTTCTGCATACTACATATTGGTCACTACTCCAGATCACTTGGCCACTTTGAAATACCTAGCTCAAGTCTGTCTCAACTCTCAATGTATAACCCCAATTTACAACAATCAGTCATTTGAAAATGTTATGCAGTTGAACAATCGAAATTGATGGAGAATGAGCGAGATCAGGGTTAAGACGTGATAAAGCCGTCGGTCTGTCGCCGGCCAATTCACTAGGTGGCCTAGGAGACTACTTCGTTACATTGTGTGACTAGCTGTGCGAGTGAAGGTCGAATGAGTGTTATCCGAGAGTAACTCTGAGTAGAAACAACTGTGAAATACAACGCGCATTTAATTATGACGCCGAATTGTGGAGTGTGAATTTGAATATCTTCACATCAAGACCGGCATCCACTCCAGCGGTATCCAGATCAAAGTATGTAGCTGAGGTGAAAGCGTGCGGAACTTCCTCCACAACAAAGTTCTTTTACTAGGTGACTTGAATATTATATTCACCGCACGACAAAGGTCGAGGACTGCTCACCAGCCTCTGTCACAAAATACGCAAGCGTTTGCTCATTTCTGACTGTTAACGCCACCACTGCCATTCGAGCACTCTCGAAGGAAAGTGCAAGGCGCAATGTTGCGACCAGAGGTGGGACCAGAATCGGATCAAATACCTGGCTAGATTAGTGACAACCACGAAGCGGCAAATTTGAGCCTTACTATATCAGCACCAATCACAACGCCCACGCTCGCTTTGGATAGAAATGCTGTCATCATGCTCTCACTGCATGGCAGGGAAAGGGCATCGAACCAGTCAAGAGTGGAGAAGGTGATATTTGGGTGATTTGATGACTGATCTACGCGACAGTAAGCAAAACACGGTCTGAGTTGATCGAGACAAACGAGACAGAATACAAAATGAGACTGAAAGGGTACAAGGCAGAGCACATCAATTTGATTTACCCGAAGAGCTACAAGGATGAACGTTAACTGGGATAACTCACTGCAACGAAGTTGGACATTGTCGCGACACCTTGAAAGCACTCCGGCATTTACATCAGTCAACAGTACTGCAGGCAATGGCTGACGATGTGATTCATGACGCTCGTTAAATTTCTGTTGTATTGTCGCCACAATAATTCCAAGAAAACCGGACCCACAACCAAGCTCGAAGACCGTTTGATCACGAATCGTCTCTGGTTGCATGAAGAAATATGAAGGCCAGTCAAGGAATGGCACGGTGTGTCTACCGTACCGGCATTCGCAATGAGATAACTGGCAAGGACGAAACTTGCACACCAGGTCCTAAGCCCTGTCGTTCCGCTCTCGATGGTGGTACGAGACTCGAGTAGTGTGATGGTTTCGTGGCTGCTTCGATCGGTACAACCAAGTGAACTTAAAGGCTTCCAGTAATATGTCATGTACGAGTCCGGTGGGGGACCACTAGGATCGCTGTGCAGTGAGGACACAAAATGGAGATGATTAGAAGTACCTTCTCATGGCAAATAAACCTACGTCGAACCCGACATAAGGGACAAATAACGGTCATAAATTCGTGTGTCGATCTCGCCGTCCTTTATGTGTAATTGTGAATGAGTTGCCTTGCGCGTGGGACTGTAGCGTAGCTGACCTCTTCGTCTTTGTCCATTCGTTCCAGGTGTTCAATTGACCACTTCCAAAATGATCGCTGGTATCTCCCGGAGGGTGGATACTGCTCCAGGTGCGGAGCGAGCAAAACCTGGTGTAAAAGAAAAGTGTGTACCTCAGTAAATGAATATTGAACAGGAAATTTAAGGTGAAGTGGAGGAATCAATGCAGAATATCCCTTCAGTAAAGCTAATAGCTCGTTGTTATTTCCATAGCATACATCGTTGGTGAATGTCATGGTCATCTTCAATAATGCCCATCAAGCAGGCTGCACATCACTATCAGAGGCCTGCCCTAGAGTGTTCACGTGATGCCGACCAGAAATGCCTCAAAATTTTTGCGCGTTCTGCGCCCAAATGTTCACTCGTTTGCGTATATCAGCTTCATCATCTCAGCGCACCTTGCGTTTACCATCTGCTCACAGATGTCCACGTAGAACATTCTTCCAGTCTTTCGTCGCAAGAAAGGATGAATTTTTTGAGGCAGACGAGGAAGATGATGCCCTTGGTGAAGCTATCCTAGAGGGCCTCAATCTACCAAACGATGCCGAAACCCCACAAACTCCTTCATATGAGAACTGGATAGCAGGTGCCGGTCGCAAGTACCGTGATCCCGCCCCACGAAATTGGCTCAGCCCTGGAACGGTATGCTCAGGATAGTACCACAATGATGATTATGCTCACTACTTTTCAGCCTTTTCCTCTTAACGAATCATTCCGTCCCCCTCCACCTGTCTCGGATGCTTTACGCACTCAAATCTATTTTTCTTATATGGCTGATCCCGAGGCTAATTCGGTGCGTGCTCTGGCTGCCAGACACCACCTCAGTATCAAACGTATCGATGCCATTCTACGATTGAAAGGTTTAGAAGAATCGTGGAAAAAGGTGAGAACTCGTTATTTCTTTCCTTTCTCAAGAACGTGATGAGCAACGTGAATTCGATTAGTCTTATAGACACATACATGGTTAAATCTACGCACCTTACTGATCTGCATCTTCCTTCTACTGCCGCTTAATATTCAAATATACTGACTAATCTTATACTTTTCTTAGGTAAATTGCAACTGCTCACAATGTGGAATTGTTGACTGATTCCCCACCGAAAATTCTATTATGACGTGCAGGATGTGAGCACTATTTCCCTTGCCTTGAAAATACATTATTATTCGTGCAATTCAAACGCCTTACATCGTCTGGCACTGGTTCCACATTTCGACCCTATCTGAACCTATATGTTGCTCCTCTTGTGACATTAACGCTCACACACCTTGCAGGGTAAACCCATACAGACAGGTTTTGTGCAAGGCATGGAAAGTATCCTTGGCGTGCCTCAAACCAAGATTTTTACCACCCTTGATGAGTCGAAGCCTGTGCCCGTACAGTACGATACCAACCAGCAGGGGGCTAAAATACATAGCGATAGATACGACGCAGTGGAGGCCGATCGAGAAGACGAAGAAGCCGGTGGCTTCGACTGGGCGCGACAAAGGTACCAGCGGATGTTTTGGGAGACTGTGCCCGAGGGCAAGGTTTGTTGATTATTTCTTTCGATGTACAAGTGAACTAATTTATCTACTAGGACCCAATCATGCCAGGCATTTTGGATGCCGCGACAAAATCAGCCGCTGCTACCTCTGAGAACAAGACAAAGACGAATATTGTCGAACGTCCTGGACGCCCAACAATCAAATTCATTGATGTTGGCAACATGTTCATAGATCTCAAAGAGCAGGAGCGTCGTGCCAAGGAGAGCGAGCGCAGGGCGACGGTTCGATCACGAAGAAAAGATCGTCAATGGATGGCCAACTGACGTGGGGATATCGTCCTCTTTTCATTGTTGTGTTCGGAGTCAGATCGTGCTTACCGTAGGGCATTCGTTTCTTATATATACAACCAATAATATAGTGCGACTGTCGGGATCTGTATATGCTACTCGTCCACTTTTGCACATTGCCATTTCAATGGATGGTTTACAGTTTATGATAAATTGTCACATCAGATTGCCAGCTGAGTCAAGGTCATCAATATTTAATACTTGTGTGTGATAGCCCTTATGCCGCATCATCATCACCGTAGTGATCGCACTGGTTAGCGCTACTGACCCGCAGTCGAAGTAAACGGTCTATCGATCGACAAGTGCATTACTCGCACGGATTGCAGCGCCGTGTTACAACTGCATAATGGCTGCAAAAATGTATGTATGAGTAATAGAACCAAGTACATTGGAGATGTCGAAAATGAAGGCATGTATGTACTGAAGTCGACACGCTTTAAGCTTGATTGAGGTAGTCCGTAAGTCCCCTCGCCGGGTAGATCTTTATCCTTTCAATGTTTCATAAGCCTGTTGTGCAGCCGCGTCCTGAGCAGCACTTCTGGTGGGGGCAGAAGCGTGGCCGTAATTTACATCGTCAACTTATAGTATGTTAGCATCTGCATCCTCGACTCCTCTAGCAAGCGAACGCACTGTAGATAGTCGCATACCACATTGTAGCATTGGGAGGGCCTTGTGAATAGACCTCCCACTTGACATGTTCAGGTGCAGAGGGACCGTACCTCTTCTGAAATTCGTTGTTCAACCTCGTACGGGGGTCTGGAGGTCAATGAGTGGACACATCCTGCACGTCGAACAGATGAGTGGAAGACATACGGTCATTGTCAGACATCGCTGCTGGAATTTGGGTACGAGTATTTCCAGTGGAAACTAGACGAGAGGATTCCTCAAGGCAACGATCACGACAGGCGCCAGGTCAGTGCGATTCGGTGTTCATGCACATGCCCGGTCCTGTCAATATTTCCCACACCCCACATACGAATCGTGTTGCAATTTTGATGTTGCAATCTCGAGACGATTCAGTACGTGCTCTTCAAGTTCAAGTTGGGCTTCGCGATGTGCGAATAATGTATGGTGAGCCACGGTAGTCAGTTGTAGTCCGCCGTTCATCATTGGCTCTGTCGAGTCCAGAATAATTTCCTCCCTGCAAGGTTTGGAAGGTATAACTGTGTCATCTGCCTTCGAGGCACTATCATAACCTTAGGCTACTCACCCCGCAAGCAAATCACACATGGGACTCCGGCTTGGTGCAAGCTTCCATTTAGCTGCAGGCCTAGATGTCGATAAGTTAGAACAAGCGGGCTCGAGGGGCGCATGGTTTTGAGTATGCGGTAGGTTGTGAGGTGGATCGGGTGTCTTCGAACTTCGGAATCGCGGGGCGTCGCAATAAGGGTGGAAATATCGGTAGCGGAGATGGGTTAAGAGACGTGGTGTACATGTGTAACACCAATTAGTGAGTTATCCTTGGATTTGGAGCATCAGATTGATCAGACTTATAGCGGGACAACTTGAAGTAGCTTCTCGTCTGCTGCTACAACCGTGACATGCACGCGACGCATCACGTGCCTTCCTGTCAGGCCAACTATAACCTTACCGGTCTGCTTCGGTCTACTGATGAGTCATTCCGATAGTCACCGTTGGGATGTCTCATATATATATAATCGTTATATTATGCGATTTGTTGAGACTCGAAGGGAAGTAGAAGTTAAGTGGAAGCATAAACACCAATGCTCGGCCGGGACGTGTAGTAGACGCCACGCCACATCATGATAGTCTCCTGTAGTACTCACCACCGCATTTATGTTCGTACTCTGGGCTACTAACACAGAGGAGCACGTCGAAGCACAACGGACCATCAACATATCATGGAAGAAAGGGGATCTATATCTATTAGCTCACAACGGGTGCACTTCTAGTATAGACGATGCTGTACGACTGTATGAGTAGTAGAAGTAGCTAGATCTCTGAAGAGGAATAAAAATGATGGCGTATGTGTATTGGAGTAGTCATGCTTCATCACCGGGACCTTTCACTTTTCAGGTGATTATATGCCATTTCCGCAGCTTGGTCTTGAGCACCACCTCTAGTGCGGGCTTCAGCGCAACCATGATTGATATCATCAACTGCATGACGTATTGGTTAGCGTACACATATTTGACACCTTAGAAATCAACCTTACTGTAGACAGTCGCATTCCATGTTAAAGCGTTGGGAGGGCCTTGCGAATAGACCTCCCACGTGACATGCTCAAGTGCAGAGGGACCATACCTCTTCTGCAATTCGTTGTTCAACTTCGTGCGGGGGTCTGGAAGTCAATGACTCAGGGAACATCCTGCATGTCGAAAAAATGAGTGGGGGACGTACGGGAATTGTCAGACAATCGCTGCTTGGAATTTGGGTACGAGTGTTGTAGATGACAGAAAATATGTAGGACTTGCCGGATAATGAGCTACATCATGTCTGTCTCCCCCTTTATATATGCAGAGTATGCACACCTCGTCAAGCCGTGACTGTAAACGAAAGCAAGGGCGGCCAGACGAATTTGATTATTGGCAAGGACATTGCGGCCTCATACATCTCCCCGATTCCGGCGACGACGGTTGTGGAGGTGGAGAAAATGAAAACGCACGCTCGGTCATATCCAGGGGAAAAAGTGACCGATCTGGAAGACTGCTTGGCATCACAGACAGACGCTGCCCAATGGTTGCTTTTTGCGCATTCGTGATTCCGTATATTGGCGCTAGAATACCGTCCAACCTGCCAAGCTGTATGATATATCAAAGCAAGTTTCCGAGTCACGCACTTGCTGCGCTTTCCCTATCAAGGGTTCTTGGAAGGCCATGTGGTGGAAGGTTGCAACGGTTTCTCGCAATTTATCAACTACCGATTGCCAATCCGCAGGTGGATTGAGCTAATGGCAGATGTAGACAAATGCATCACGCACGAAGCGCCTTGATAAGCGAGGCAACATGACATATTTGTATTTGAACGTTTGAACAACTGAGGGATGTCAAATGATATCAAGTCTGGCAGAGCGAGAGTCTAAAACATGGTGGTAGTACTTAATCGTGCCTGCCTGACTATTAATGTTTTCTGGTAGCCTGATCGCTATTCTGTTATCAAAGGGTACTGACAAAGTATCAGTTTTTACGCGTAGTACGCATTATCTGAAGTTCGTGGGCGTGTGTGGGTACATATCTTAATTAATATTCTGGTGGTGGTGGATGAAATGAGGTGTTTAAAATTAGTAATCATTAGAAGTCTCGGGTTTCAAAACCCAACGTCAATTTTTTTGCAAATACTCCATATGTGATCATGACATGTGATCAAAGCGGCTAGCATCATCCTCCGCGCGCACTCAACTCTATAAGTTTTTTATATATCTCATTCGTGTTCTAACTGTTAATAGCCTTCTGCATCAACGCCGTTTCGCAATATTTTTGTATAGTGTGGCTTTCATTTTCTCATTTTCTCTTATCTCCGCCGGTTCACGTCATGCCCTTCGCCTTGTCGCTGTTATATCCAGTACTTGTCCCTCGCATATCTATATATCTACTTACTTCACTTCTGTGCTCATTGGCTATAGCGAGTGTACTGAGCTGCAGCAGTGCAATTTGATGTGCCCATTATCGTGGTCAAACGGAGCCTACAATTACCGTACAATAGGGGTAACAAGGCCAGTAGGAGTATGTGTATGAGTTCATTACCCACACAAGACCACCGCACAATTGTCACAACAACCGTACTAGTAGCACATATCGAACATCGGGGTCTACTGTGTGATACACATCTAACATGGTTGGTAGGAGTATGTATAAAACCTCGCTGCATGCTCGGCCGCCATGCATTGTAACTCGCAAGTCCAACACAAATCTGTCATGTGTTTGTGGGGATGGCAGCAATTACACATCTTGTACGGTATTACGTGGTATGCACAGCTTTGATTTCTATTTATTGATGGGGTAGATCTTCCTTGTCTCAAACGATTATAAACCGTTGCACAGCCATGTCCTGGGTAACACTTCTGGTGAGGGCCGAAGCGTGATTCAGACTGTCAGCTGTACACGGTGGTATTGGTTAGTATGCGTATTTTTGACCTCTGGCAATCAAACGTGCTAGTACAGCGGGACCATAAATCATGCAATTCGTGACTCAGTAGCGGCGTTCTTCAACCTCGTGCGAGGGTCTGGAGGTTAACGAGGAAGTACATCCTGCATGTTAAAAAAATGAGTGGAAGACATACGGTCATTAAGATTGCTACACATTACCCCTGGAATTTGGGTGCGAGTCATGTTTCCAATAGTAGACGAGAGAATTCCTCAAGGCAACGACAGACGCCTGGCAGGTTATGTTATGATTCGGTGTTCAAAGATTCCCGGCCCTGCCAACATTTCCCTCGCGTAGATATATGAATGGTGCTACACTTCTGGTGTTGCAATTTTGAGACGATCGGTATATTTGAGGCACTTATCAAAACCCGCTCACCTACGGGACTCCCGCTTGACGCGGGCTTCCATTTGACTGCCGGCCTAGATAATAATAAGCTAGATCAAGTTGGCCTGAGAGGAGCATTATTTTTAGTATGTGGCAGGTAAGTTGTGAGGTGGATCGGGCGTCTCTGAGCTAGAAGATATGCGAAACAGGAGAGCGGTTGAGATAGAGGAAGAATATTGCAGGTAGCAGAAATGGGATAAAAAGATTTGGTGTACCTGTATAACACCAACTAGTACTTACGCTATCCTTAGAGTCGAAGTATTGGATGGATCAGACTAGTACAGAGACACGTAGCTTCTCCTCTAAGGTTTACTCGTGACAGTTCAGTGACACGGTACGCGTAGCATCACGTGCCTTCCTGTCAGGCCAACCATAGCCTAATCAGTAATTACCCCTAAATGCTCCGGTCTACTGATGGGCCATTCCGATAGTTGGAATGTCTATTATAAAATTGATATATGAAGCGATTTATCGAGACTCATAGTGAGGTGGAAGTTAAGTGGAAGCACAAGTACAGTGCTCGGGACGTGTGGTAGACCCCACACCGCATCATGGTCTTCTCTACTCACCACCAGGCACAAAGGGGCACGTCGAAGCACAACGAGCCAAAAATGTATGGAAGAAACGGGATCTATATCTATTAACTCACAACAGATACACTTCTAGTATGGACAGCGCTATACTACGACTGTATGATAACAAAACCGTATGAGTAATAGAAATAGCTAGATGTCTGAAGAGGATGAAAATTTGATAGCACACGTGTATCGGAATCATCATGCTTGATTGCCGCAACTCATCGGGCCCTTTCACGTCTCAGGAAGTCATATGCCTGGCCCGCAGCCTCGTCTTGAGCACCACCTCTGGTGGGGGATGCAGCATGGCCGTAATTCATATCGTCAACTGTATGGCGTATCGGTTAGTGTACACATCTTTGACTCCCTAGAAATCAACCGTACTATAGACGGTCGCATCCCATATTAAATTGTTGGGAGGGCCTTGCGAATAGACCTCCCACCTGACATGGTCTTGTGCAGAGGGACCATAAATCTTCTGTAATTCGTTGTTCAACCTCTGACGGGGGTCTGGAGGTCAATGAGCGGACACATCCTGCATATTGAACAACTAAGTAGAGGACGTACGGTCATCGCCAGACATCGCTGATAGAATTTGGGTACGAGTGTTGTAGATGGTATAAAATGTGTAGGACTTGCCGGATAATGAGCTGTATCATGTTTCTTCCTTTATATCTGGAGAATGAGATCGCAATATCCTTGCTTGCGTTTGCAGCGCCTGCTTGATGAGCTATGCATACATTTCCCCGGTTCCGGTGTGGACGGTTGGGGAGGTGGAGGAAATGAAGTGTCAGCAAGACGTAGCGCTCGATATTTCCGATCAAATCAGAGTGAAAAGACGACGGTTCTGGAAGACTGTTTGGCACTATAAGCAGACGCTGCCCAATGTTGGCTTTTTGCGGCTTCGGGATTCCGTACATTGCCGTTAGAAAACAAGCCAACCTGCCAAGCTGTATAGATAAAAACAAGTTTCACGCACTGGCCGCGCTTTCCCTATCAAGGGTTCTTGGAAAGCCATGTGGTGGAAGGTTGCAACGGTGATTCGCAAAATATTAATTACCGATTGCCAATCCGCAGGTGGATTGAGTTAATGGAGGCTAATGGCAGGTGTAGAAAGATATATCACGCATGAAGCGCTTTGATATCATGTATTAAGTGATGCAACGTGATACTGATATTTGAACAGCTGAGGGATGTCAATATATCAAGATTCAAGTCTGGCAGAGCGATATAGAGACGGTCTAGACTCGTGACCAGTCTGTCTATATGAGGCAAGCCATTGTGACAGTTCGGTGACACGGTGCGTGTCACATCACGTGCCACCTTGCCAGCCATAGCTTTACCCCTAAATGTTCCGGTTTACTATTCCGATAGTTCACCGTTGGAATGTTTATTATAAAATTGATATATGAAGCGACTTGTCGAAAACTCGTAGTGACGTGGAAGTTATGTAAGTGGCATGATAGTCTCCTCTACTCACCACCGGCTACTGACACAAAAGAGCACGTCGAAGCGCGACGGGCCAAAAACGTATCACGGAAGAAAGGGGATCTATATCTATTAACTCACGACAGGTGCACTAAGTACCATATTACGACTGTATGATAACGAAACTGAATGAGTAATAGAAGTAGCTATATGTCTGAAGAGGACTTTTCAAGCATCAGGGAATCATATGCCTTGGCCGCAGCCTTGTCTTGAGCCCCACTTTTATTGTTGGATTCACCGTAGCCGTATTCCATATCATTAACTGTATGACGTATTGGTTAGGGTACACATCTTTGACTAGAGGTCAACCATACTGTAGACTCTCGCATGCCATGTTGAAGCATTGGCAGGGCCTCGCGAATTGATATCCCACTTGATATGGTCTTTTGTAGAGGGACCATAAATCTTCTGTAATTCATTGTTCAACCTCTGACGGGGGTCTGGAGGTCAATGAGCGGACACATCCTGCATGTTGAACAACCATGCAGAGGACGTACGGTCATCGCCAGACATCGCTGATAGAATTTGAGTACGAGTGTTGTAGATGGTAGAAAATGTGTAGGACTTGCCGGATAATGAGCTGTATCATGTCTCTTCCTTTATATATGGAGAATGAAGTCGCAATATCCTTGCCAATGACCAAATTCGTCTGGCTGCCAGTTATCCCTTGCTTGCATTACAGCCTCCGGCTTGATGAACTATACATACATTTCCCCGGTTCCGGCGTGGACGGTTGGGGAGGTGGAGGAACAACAAGACGTAGCGCTCGATACTGCCGATCAAATCAGGGTGAAAAAACGACGGATCTAGAAGACTGCTTGACACCATAACTTAAAGTAGACGCTGCCCAATGTTGGCTTTTTGCGCCTTCGGGATTCCGTACATTAATACTGCCGCTAGAATACAAGCCAACCTGCCAAGCTGTATAGTTAATAACAAGTTTCACTCACTGACAGCGCTTTCCATATCAAGGATTCTTGGAAGGCCATGTGGTGGAAGAGGGTGGAAGGTTTGCAACGGTGACTCGCAAAATATTAATTACCGATTCCATTCCGCAGGTGGATTGAACTAATGGAGGCAAATGGCAGGTGTATAAAGATATATCACGCATGAAGCGCTTTCATATCATGTTATTAAGTGAGGCAACGTGACACTGATATTTGACCAACTGAGGGATGTCAAATTGTCAATATATCACGTCTGGGCCACTGGCAAAGCGATAAGGGAAAAAATGCAAGAATCTGAAACACGTGACGGTGGTGCCACTAGTATCTAATCGTACCCACCTGCCAATGCCTTCCGGTAGCCTGATTGCTAGGTTATGAAAGGCTGCTTACAAGGTATCGTTTCTGGGCGTAGTAAGCAGTAAAATCCGAAGTTCGAGGGCGTGTGTGAGTGTATAACAGTGGTGCACTGTGCACCGGTGGTGGATGGAATGAATTGTTACCTTACAAGGCATAATTGTGTGGCTGTACGTTCCCAGTTGACCCCGTGAGAGTTAATAACTTTTAGCTGGCGCCAGTCCTCGACTCGCCTATGTTCTGTGTTCATCGACTCAACTGGTCTTTGCATTGGCAAATGACTGCTAATTCTATGTGATTCTACTGTTGCATGATGTTCTTCGACTCGTACTGCGGACGTCCATCTTCACCAGCCTTAGCCAAGTGATAAGTGTGACTGGACAGAAATCTATTGCAGCTTCAAACTTTCAAAACCTGCTCAACACTCTTTTGCCACGCCTTGAACATTTACTCATGGATGGATCCTTCAAGGTCTATCTTAAGTAGTTATAGCCAACTGGCACCAGAACATATTAGAATTCTTGGGTGGTGCGGATTCAAAACCTGCTGACAGATGTCTTATCAAACCTAGGCCTTGACATTCACTTGTGGACAATTCTTCAGGAGCTTCATCTCGCGTCCTGGTCCAAAGTGATTACCACAACGGAACCGAAATCTGTTCTCCTGGACTGCGCAGGTTTGAAAACCTGCCGGCGACAGTTTTGTCTCTCGGAACACATCTTGACATTCGCTCATGGATGGTTTCGTTGCAGGTTCCTCTAACTGATCTTAGTCAAGTGGTTAGTGACCGCAACAGAATCAAAATCTGTTTCTCTTTAACTGTGCAGGTTCGAAACTTGCTATATGACAGTTCTTATTTTCTATCAACACGCCTTAAAAGATTCGCTCATACGGATGGTTTCCTCGGAGGTTAATGTCAACTTCGTCCTCGATCAAACACTGTAGCCGTGGGAAGTTGAACCCAGCTATATCGTCGTTGATCATCGATGATCTCATAGTTCCACCGTGACGGTCGTTGACAGTGACCCTATTAGCTAAGCATATTAGTGGTAAGTAGCGGAGGCTCTCCTGTTTGTTTAAAAACATCGCATCCTGACCCTTCAGATCTCATACTCGATTCATCATGGCTACCGCACTTAAAGACTCGATTCCAGTTCCAGCTCCGGTGCTTAAGGGTGCTTCTGCAGCTCGACCCACTACCGCCAACTCTCAACCTAGAAAAAAAGAAGAATATGATCGCCCCTGCATCAGTTGAATCCTCTCCTCGATAGTTTTTGTCAGTTTGTAGCGGGGAATCCGGGGATTTCGCCTCAGGTATGTGGTACCGATCAAGCTTATCGCATTGCGTAACCCGACTCTACTATCTCCTTCCTAAGGCCAAGTGTATGCCAAAGGCCCTTCGTTTATCATGAACCAAGATCGACACCACGAGTATGATGTAGGCGCCCGATGTACTTGTATGGCATAGTATTGATCATCATCACTTCTCAGGAGTTTTCTGGGATTCGGCGGGTCGAGTACGAAGAATTAGAGCGTTTCCATCGACGAGACTTGTAATTCGGTTTAAAACCAAGGTGGGTTTTAAAAAGTTGTTCTGTCACGTCAGTTCTTACCCCAATACCGCAGATTGACGTACTTCAACGACGACACTCTGATCATCGAAATGCCTTCGGCAGTACACGAAGCTCCTCTGGTTGCTCTGCATACAGCACTCACGTGTTTCCTGCAGAGCATTCCCTTTGACCGTCAAGCAATCAATGCAAACGTTATGACTAATATACATGCATCGGATTCACTTGTTCCCGACATGCGAATTTCCCTTCAAACCTGCGCCCTCAGGTCGGCGGCGCTAAGGTTATCACCTACGCGCCTTGCAGAGACGGCGTTCTCGCAGCATTACGACACCTTGGCAGAAAAAGTTACAAGACGCCATCATCGAAAATCCTTCCTTATCACTGGCAATCGCCATTGTAATTTTCGAAAACCAACCCTATCGTTCGCCAAATAGTGACTCAGATACGGCACGTAGTCTATTACGGGAGCCGTCGAAACGTGCAGCAGAAGACTTCGTTTCCATGGCAGGCTGCCACCCGGCCTTGAACGCATCGGTCATTGTAGAGAACCATGTTATGGTGCTCGATATCATCGGTTTGGTTCAAGGTTTGGGTGCGTGGGGATGATCCCATAGACATCTTCTCAAACGATTTAACTCTGGTTGCGGATGGGGTAATACTATCATTCCCGGTAATATGTACACGGTTGCTGATATGCAAAACTTTTATAACACTTCAACCATCGTGCTCCAACTGGTGTCGAAAAAATTCAGGTGTCTGCAGAGTACCTAGAAATGATGTTTTGTACAAGTAGAATAAAAATTTCTTGGATGTTGCAGCTGCGAGAGATGAAATAGTGATAATTTGCAACCTTGGTCCAACACAAATCACCCCAGATCCCAAAGATCCTGCCAAGGTATTCGCAAAATTTTACCCGGGGCATAATGAACACCTTATAGGGATGTAAGAACACCAACTCGATAAAGGTTACTCTCTTGTGTTGAGGTGCTACAGTGGTAGAATCAACGACGAGTACAAAAACGTGACACCAGACAGGGGAGATGCGTAAGTAATTCAATCTCCTCCTCGGCACATCGGCATCTATCCTCTGCAGCAGTCAAGTCTCACAGAGTCGCATCATTCTCTCCAATGGCACCACACCGCAGGCAAAGCAGCCCAGACAAAAGCCGAAAAAGATGCCATTTCGCGAGGCCAACATCAAAGCTGCTATCCAAGCTGTTAGAGAGAAGAGGGCTAAAAACCTCTCAGCTGCAGCTGGCCAGTTCAAACGTGCCATACCATACCCTTCGTCGACGTGCACAGAACCTTACGAAACCTCATTTAAAGGCCCACAAATTCCAAAGCGAGATCGGCGAGCAGAACAGGAGCGTTCTCAAGCTGCATTCACCGGCACAATCAAGACCAAGAAGCTGGAGGAGCTACGCGACTTAGCCGCAGCCTTGCGGTTACCTGAGACTGGACTTAAGGCTGAGGTGTTCCAGCGGATTCTCCAGCACTTTGACGGCAACACTGACCTCAAGACAATCCACGGTATGAGGGTTTATTCAACCCTACCCGTTCTCGCAGGCGGCCGTCTCGATAACGGTGATAACACTGCGGAATTACCGCAGGACGCGATTCCCCCATCAAATCCAGTTCGCGAGCCGTTCGGATACCAACCTCAGCCTGCACCTCAACCCTCGATGTCGAGAAACGAATTTCCCCCACCTGGGTATGCACCCCTACATTATCCAATGCAGCATCCTGCACCTCAGCCTCAACATATTTCGCACCCTCACTTTGCACCGGCGAGTCGCAGTAGCGCAGATTTCCGAGTTGGTGATATGGTGCAGACTCAGCACAGGTATGCAGGGCATCAATTTTATCCAGAAGGCTATCAGCAACACCAAGTACTACAATCATAGTCAGTAGTAGATGAACCATGGTACTCAATGATTTGCCGTATCCACCATTTTCGAGCCTTTCGCGATCCACAACGCTTCAAGAAGTTCAAAGTTTCAAGCCTGCGCTCGGAGAGTGAAAAGTCACCTGTGCCGCTACTGTGCCGAGGCGTGACAAGACGTGACCATACTTTGCAGATTAGAGGTGGACCCTGAGTTTTATCGGGTTTGCTCCGACACCACACCACATTATCCTAAAAATCAGTAAAAATCAGATCTATGTAGAGGAGATACGAATACATGATGGGGCAAATTTTCAAAAGAAAATGTGATGTGGTTGAGGAGTTACAAAAGATTTACTGAAAGTTTTGCATATAACCGGGAATGATAGTATATCCTTTTCATTTCAAGATTCCCGTGTAGCTAACGTTTATTTTAACAGTTCCTGTACCCACAAGATACTATGACCCCAGCGTTAGCAATGTTGGAGAAAGGAGTCAATGCGATTAGGGAGAAGTTGGTTTGGTTATGCAAAGAGATCGATGACAATGTCGACGTTGATGCTCTGCGTGACCCCACCATCGTTTTTCGCATCAGGAAGGAAGACATTGTCGCACAGATCGCGGGAGCTATGCACGAGATCGCGTACCGCCGCTACTCAGCATGGTACAATAAGGCTTTGAAAGTTGCCAAGGATGACCAGTCGATGTAGGAAGGCTAGGCGAAGGATTCAATATTACCCACCACATTTATACCCCTGTACGAAATCAGCGTTGGCCTTTGCCCGACACCATACTGACGGAGTACCTGCATATCCACTAAAACATACGGTAGAACATATACATACATACATACGATAGACAAGCGGGAGCAAGCCCCTCGCGAAAAGGGTTGTGTCCAGCATAGGGTCTTCGACCCTAAAAGGACAATAAATCTGATTAAAAAATAAAAATAAAAATAAAAAGTTGCCAAGGACGTCTGGTTTTCGAACCTGTAGTTATTTCTCTTGTTATTGTTGACATGGTCCATCTCTCTGTGTGGCATACACAAATATGGTGATTCTCCACCATTTCACAATGAATAATATGGGCCGCTGATACAATTTGAATGTGTCATTCCCGCTACCGTAGGGAGTGGGTCTTGTCGGTTTTGATTTTCACGTTTTTGCGGTAGATCTGTCCGATCTTGCCGTGGCTGTGTTTTCGCCTCAAATAGTTACTTGCCGTGTTGATTGAAAATAAGACTTGTACGCGACTCGCGTTGTCGCGTCGGACCGATAATCCTTGAGCACCGCCGCGGCTGTCTCTCGTTTCCTACAAAAGAAACTTCACCATGACCCAGGACTTTCAACCTCGTGGTGGTCTTTTTTTTGCAGGTTCTGACGATGAGGACGACGTAAATCCCATGACTGCTCAGATTGAAGTATCAGTGCAGTCAGCATCTCACCAACTAGCTCCGTCATCAGGTCCACCTTGCTCCCCACACGAGAAGCGTCTGTTCTTTGCCGATAGTGACGATGAAGATATTCCACGTTTCCAAACTCCAAGGCCAATTGCGATTGATTCGGAATTTGTCGTGAGTGGCAATGACAGCGAAAGCGACCTGGAGATACCCTCCTTTGAAGAAGTTCCTCGAGCTTCCAGCATTAGTAGTATGTCATCAGGGCCTTCTCTCAGAAGTTCTTCGCCGGCGCCAGGTCCTTCTGGTGAAGGACCACCGGTCAAGAAGAGGCGACTCTCACCTCCTTCCAAGATTCAGGCGCGTACGGGACAAGCATCATTTGATCATCCTGCATATCTTGGATCATTCCTTGTCGGGAATGCCTGGAGTACTGTTAGAGGCAAAGGTTATATCAAACCAGGCGACACCATTGGCATCGAACGAGATGATCCTGATGATTTTAAATCTGGCCTACTAGTCTCAGGCAAAGGAAAGAAGAAAGCCCTTCCCGATAACGGTAAAAAGAAGCAACTTACTCTCGGTGCTATGCTGAAATCGCAGCCACCCAAAACGACGAAGAAAGCCGACACGGTAGTTCGCCTTACGAATGACCGTGGTTTCGGTGAGCCTCATTTGCAAATGATGTAAGAGTGCTCACACATTTCAACCAGAGTTTGGCCGTCTTCCGCAGCATGTTTCATCTTGGGTTTCAAGGCTTCTTGACTTCGGTACTTCATCTTCCATATGAATTAACTTTGCATTTACCATAGCGTCCAGGAATTATCGACTTCAAGGGCAGTACAGTGGTGGACTGCCCAGCCACTCTGCATTCTGGCGCGGACTTGATAGTCTCGTTGTCTGTATATGTCCGTGCATCTGCGTTCAAGCCACCGAGTACTTCCGCAGAGGGGTCACCGAACACGATGTTCAATCAGGGACAAGAAACACACGATGAACAGACTCTCAGAGAACGAAAATCTGCGCTACTCTCTCTCTTCGAAGCTGTTAACCTCCTGCCCTTGTAGGGGAGCCCAAGTCCAAGATAATGGCAACATGGAAAATGGATCTGACGGCATGAACAAGAACCTGACGCAACATGCTGGCGGTGCCAAGAAGAAGAAAATCGAAATTGTCGGCGACGGCGAGGAAGTCGAAGTAGAAGAAGGCGAAGAGCTATCTGATAACGAGTTGGACGTCATCTACAAGAAGCGGGTATCATTTCGTGGTGTCAGGCTATCATGTTAACAGTGTTACAGAGCCCAGAAGAACGACCAATCGATGGCTGAGATGGATCCTCCTGACACGTTTACATTAACACTGAGGGGATACCAGAAACAAGCACTTATGTGGGCCAGAATATCATTGAATTTCTCGTTCTCCCCTGCTGACTCATATAAGGTGGATGCATTCAAAGGAATCAGGTGAAATATCTGCCAGAGAAGCTATGTCTATGCACCCCCTCTGGAGCGAGTAAGTCCCCCAACCGTGCTATAGGAACAGCAGCCAACCGTTCTTATAGATATGCGTTCCCTGCCGAGCCTCAAGATGGTATAATCGATCTGACTGAAGACGAGAAGCTGTTCTACTTCAACCCTTACTCAGGAGAACTCAGTCTTGACTTCCCTAAAGCGGAGCGCAAACTCAAAGGAGGGATCCTCGCGTAAGTAGCAAGCATTCATTGATCAATAGATATTCATGTTCCACTAGTGATGGTAAAGTGCAGTTCTTATCTGACGTCACCTTGCTCATAAACAACAAATTTTCAATCTGGCACACCACGCAGAGAGTGCGTCCCTGTAACCTTTGTGCGGTGATTGGAGCTGATTCATTCATCTCAGTGGGAATGGGAAAAAACCATTATGTTATCCGCTCTCATTCATACAAACCGAGGTCCGGAACCTATTCTTCCTGATGATACCTCCAGGGATCTTGCACGCACTCGTCAGCTGAAACTTGACAATGCCTTTCGGTCAAGAGCTCTCGGACAAAGGAGGAAGCCTACCAAAGGCCCTTCTGCGACATTGGTTGTTGCTCCTACCTCACTGCTCTCCCAGTGGCACGAGGAACTCCAGCGGTCGAGTGCACCAGGGACCCTTAAAGTCACTGTCTGGCACGGACAGAACAGGCTAGACTTGGACGGTATAGAAGATGATTCAATGGATGATGCGTCTATCACCGTGATTATTACATCCTATGGCGTGCTCGCCTCCGAACACTCCAAACTCCTCAAGTCCGATGGTCAATCTTCTATCTTCCAAGGTATGTCCTAGGAATAAAACGAAAATTCCTCGATTAACGGCTTGTGAAGTGGAGTGGCTACGAGTCATCTTGGACGAAGCTCATCACTGTAAATCCAGGACAAGTAAGACTGCACGAGCTGTGTACGCTCTTCGTGCTAGACGTAGATGGGCCGTGACAGGTGACTACATTGGTGTTTTTCATAATCCATATGCTAAATCACCATCAGGAACTCCCATTGTCAATAAACTTGAGGATCTTCATTCGCTTCTGTGAGTGACAAACGTGTACTATACAGCAGTTTAACTGATTTCGTGTCAGCCAATTTCTAGAGTATACACCATGGTCGTTGTACTCATTCTTCCGCTCGTATGTGTCTACCATTCTCATCACTTTTCATTCTTGTCAAGGCTGAAGCCATTTGCTAGCTTCATTACTGTGCCATTCCTCGCTCGTGATCCCAAAGCAATAGAAATAGTGCAAGTGATCCTCGAGAGTATCCTACTCCGACGCGAGAAGAACATGCGTGACAACTCTGGAAAACGCATCGTCGAATTGCCTGCGAAGGAGGTCACTGTTGATACACTGCACTTTACGCCTGCAGAACAAAAGATATACAACTCTATTTATAATGCGGCAAAGCGGGACTTCGATCAGCTCAATGCGAAAGGGCTTGTAGGTAAAAATTACACCCACATTCTTGCTATGATTATGAGGTGAGACTTTCGATGTCTGACGTATCCTAGTCCTTAACTCTTTTTCAAGACTGCGACGGGCAGTACTTCATCCAGATCTCGTCACTGATACTGGCGACGGGACAGAGACTAAACCTTCTGGACACTCCAAAGACGGAGCGATTGACGTGGACACCCTGATGAATGACATCTCAGAGCATGATTTGTCGAGTGGCTCGAAAGCGGCCTATGCTGAGAGCGTTTTAGCCAATATTGACACGCCCAATGATGCAGAATGCCCAATCTGCCTCGATGTGATGCAGACACCGTCCATCATCCCTCCCTGTATGCATCAATGGTGCGCCTAACGCTGTCCGTTTCATCTTCCTATGCTAACGTTATAGCGTAGTTGTAAAGAATGCATCATATCATATCTTGCGACGTGCACGGACAAGGGAGAGGTGCCGCGATGCCCAACGTGCTCGCAAGGACCAGTCAAGGAGCAAGACCTCATTGAGGTTCTCCGACCGTCTGGTCAAGATAGTCCACACCAGGAGTCCACAGGGGGCGAAAAAGAAGGGACGTCGACATCAGAAGTCTTCCTGCGCCGAAATGATTTTAGATCGTCCACGAAACTAGATGCGCTGGTACAAAACCTCAGTAGGTGCTCCTCTGCATAGTCCATTCCACTCTGATCTAAGCTGGTTTCAGGACGACTTCGAGATCAGGACCCATACTTCCGTGCTGTCGTCTTCTCGCAGTTCACGTCTTTCCTTTCGATTATCTCTGTGGCACTGGACCGTGAACGCCTCTCATGGTATCGTTTTGATGGATCAATGGACCTCAAGAAACGCAATGCTGCCATATCAGAATTCAAGCAGAACGAGCGGAAGCCCAAGGTTCTCATTGTCAGCTTGAAAGCAGGTGGCGTTGGTCTGAACGTAAGCGCAAGCTACCTACCTCTTGAATTTCCTGAACGTCACTTCGAACGATAGCTGACGAGCGCTAACCACGTCTTCATGGTTAGTCCCGCGGAACTTATTTCCCTGCCACGCTGATTAAAATTACTCAGATGGACTGCTGGTGGAACGCGGCGACTGAAAGTCAAGGTTGGCATCTGGGTATTCGTCTATGGTTGACCGTACTGACTTCGGTGACAGCCATCGATCGCGTGCACCGAATAGGCCAAGAGAAAACTGTCTATGTCAAACACTTTATAGTGAGTCTTGATCTTTGTTCATCATATCCGTTAAACCTTCTTCAAGGTCGATCACACCATCGAAGGCCGCATACTCCAGATCCAAAAACGCAAGACTGCCATTGTCAAAGAGGCGTTCCGGGGGAGCGATAAATCGGGGAAAGCAGACCCGGAGAGTCTCGAGAACCTGAAAGTTATATTTGGTGATAATTAAGGACAGCTCTTGTATAGATGGTGCCTCTCTTCGAATGACATCGAACTAAATATGCAAGCCTGCGGAACGAGAAATTAACCGTTGAATCAAATGGACTTGGATATGAACTTTAAAACCCACGATCCAGACGCAGCTAGCTGAACTCAATAAAAAATTATTCCATCTCCCAAGCCATCTCCAATGAACATATCATGATCGCCTCCTGTGACAGATCCAGATTGGCAAACAACTAATTGCGACTCTCGCAGCATCGTAGGCAAACACTTTATTACTCCATCGTACGATGACAATATCTACATAGGGTAAACAACAATACATGAGAGGAAAACCCTCAAGGCGAAGGCACTGTATTGTAAGGTCACGGTCAAGGTATCATGGGATATTATCGTAACATCAAGCCCTGAATTCCCTGAGATGTGAAATTGCTCCACGAGACAAAATCCTTTAACCGTAAGTGCTCTCCGTCTTGATCGCGCCGCAAAATCGACATGACCAAAACTGGTGGGGTATGTCAGCCTCACCGCACCTTATACAAGTCCATCCCATAGAAGGATCTCGAGGACGCCCTGTTAAACACAAGGTACATTGGTGCGCTTGTTGGTCGTTGACGAGCGTGCAGACCGCACAAGCCCATTGCCCACCATCAGCTGAGGTCTCGGCTGGTTTGCGAGGAGGCGTGGGGTCCTTGGCATTGTTTGGTTGCCTCGCTGTAATGGCTCTAGACTGTTTTGGTGCATCAGAGATTGATCCGGAAGTACTACCCTGTGGCCTCGATGGTCCGGCAACAACACGTGATTGACTCGTAGTCCTATTGGAAGGACGGACAGTGAAGCATACTGCACACTGCAGCACAATTGGCTCATTGTGAAGTGTGCACACAGGACAAGACCACGGTTCGAGAGGAGAATCATCGGTAAGGTCGATGATGTCTTCGATGCTTTCCTTGGCCGCTCTCTCGGCTTCGCGCTGGGCAAGTGAACCCGACCCACACTCAATCTCATCACGCTTTCTGCGCTCGGCAGCCTGCGAGAGGTAGTATTAATGTGTATTTTCAGGAGACGGAAAACGTGAAGAAGGACCTGTGCGGCCAGTTCACGAGGATCCATCCCTTGCATCGCAGTGATTCTGGCGCCTCCTAGCCTGCCGCCGCCGCCGAGAACACCATTTGCGCGACGCCTCTTCTCGGCAGCTTCAAGAGCTTTGAGTTTAGCTAAGTGTGGCGGAAGATCGTGTGATACTCCTACGCCCAGCCGGTGGCCAGGAGAAAAGAAACCTTCACCAGCATAGCCAGAGCGCACTAGTGCATCATATTCGTCTTCGAGTGCAGCTAGAAACTTGTAAAAAGATTCGTCGTGAGGACCACGGACATTATGGGTAAGCTATTGAAGTATTATTAGTGGCCTGAACACGATGAAATAATGTCTTGCCTCATGGAGCATGACCCGAACAACCTGATCTTCCTCATAAAAGGTGTCGGGAGCCCATGGAAGGCGCAATCTCAGAAGAATCTGTTCTCCTCCGTTTACATCTGAATGTGTGTCAGCAAGCGCAATGAACAGCAATGTGTCCGCCGCTCACTCAACCCTGCATAATGGGTGACCCTATGAAGAAGCTTCAGGTGATGCTGGAAGGAAACTTACCAACCAGATTGGGACTTTCGGGGAAAAATTCAGACAATAACGGCAAGACCCAGCCATGTTTCCTCATGATAGGCTTTACTAGGGTGGCCACCCGTTGAAGCATGGGCAAGGCTCGATCTGCATGTGGGCGGTCTTTCAAGTGAGTAAATGATGTTACGAAAGTTTGCAACATCTATCCCTGAGTGACTGGAGAGCGGCCAGCACACCGAGTCTGTTGGCAGAAGTTGAAGGGCTTCGGCGGTGCGCCGCGTGGTGCATTAAAGCTGAAGCATATTGCTTAGTCAGCTTTAAGTTCGTCTCTATGTAGTAGGTACATCATAACTTACTAACTTGAAGTCATATAGGTTACACCAACACTGTATGTTATAATACATAACACGACGCTCATGTATAGCTATGAGCGACCCCGCCACAATCTTCAAAGTACCTGAAGACACCCTAAGGTAATCATGCCGCCCATTACCGGTACTTCGCTCCCGCCCACGAACTTCTGATAGACTAATTTAACGTAAGTCCTTGTCAAACTCAAGGTTTGGCGCTAAACGTTGCCCCCTTTAAATTTTGTTATCACCACCTTTGCACCCGAATGGCAGGACCCTAAACGCGTGTACTTCTAGAATGCTCACCATAGCCTTATAAACAATGTGTGACTATGAAGCCGCCGAAACCGTCTTTCAACAACTCTGATGACCTTTGCCCAGAGCTCTTCTATTCCTGAAAGCAGCTGGCACATTGCAACACATGGGTTCAACTGCAACAGCAATAGCACATGATATGAGTTCATTTTCTTACGCACAAAGTTAGTTCCGGCGATGTTCCCGACTTCCAATCTGATTCAACCCAAACGCTGTTTGCAGTCGCTGTTACCGTCGCTGTCTTATATGATCACGGTATGAAATCCGTCAAGTCTTATGACCGCTCACTCAGTTATTGTCCGCTCAGGCTTGACCTTCGGTCGCGAAGTGAGTCACTATTAACCAATCGTCGATGAGCAAAATTTAACGATCTTGCCGAACTCTTAGATAGATTATATATGGGTGAGTCAAAACTGGAAAATGATGTCCGCTCGTCATATGCTAATTTCATTGATCTCCAGCGGAGATCGCCTTCGTTAGTGACCGCCTTATATCTATTGGTATGTGCAACTAGTATGAATTCTTCTAGTCTTCATGTTTGTTAGGACCGCTACTTGGGCGACGCCGTTGTGATGTAAGCCCTTGCGTTTCGCTCTTATCAGTAGTCTGATGTGTTCTTAGCATTGGTGCATATCGTATGTCAATATTTATGTTGTAAATTATCTCTCTCATACGCTCTAGTGTGCCTCACTGGGGATGCATCAACACAAGTGAGCATGTTTTCTAAACAGACAATTTGCTGGCTTCTTACGAAGTTGTTTACAGGAGTATGATTCATAACGCGCTTTATTCGTACTTCTCGCTGATAGTATTGGTTTCACGCATTTTTCAGATGCAAGTACATTGACTTCGCATTCCAAGTGACCAACATCTGACTTATAATACCCAAGGTTTTCGGCTTTTCCAGGTCCGAGCGTGGGGTACTCTTCTGTGTTCATGGATTACTCAGTGTAAATCATATTTGTGCATATACAATTTGACATTTACACCACCCGTACAGGCATCATGCAACTCCGAATATATGCTATGTACCAGCGGACTAGGCGGATACTCGTGATATTGGTCTTGGCTTTTTTCAGCGAGGTCCTTGCTGTCGTTGTAATCATCTGGAGAACCATTGGTCCTCCAAGCGATTTTGTCGGTACGTACTGCAAAGAGACGCGGAGCCTCACTTGTTTACTCCACATCACCAGTCACCAATGAGCCTTATCCTGGGAAGCATTTGTGCTCCTTCTCCAGGGATCAGCACAAACTTCATTTATTTGTTCATACCCGTCTTTTGCTTCGAAACCTTACTCTTCTCCTTGGCCATCAGAGTTTCTCTCAATAATACGAGAGAAAAGAGGGCCACCCCTGGCACCTCCAGCTTGCGCGTAAATTCATTCATGAGCATACTCGTGCGAGACAGCATTTTGTATTTCTTCATGTTAGCATCATCTTTGTTCGTACGTTCCTGATCACTGGCTAATAATTGGTCCATCTAGAAACCTGGCGATGTGCGCTATCGTCATGGGCCTGTGGCGGAATCTCGCTGTGAGATTTTTTTGCTCATTTTTTTTGATGTATTACTCACTATCATTCATTGGTCCCCTGCATACAACCAGGAATTGCACGCAAATATATCTATCCCGTTCATCATGCTTCTCGAGACCGTAATTGGCACCCGCATGGTAATTAACTTCAAGGAACACTGTTCTCGCCGACTGAGCTCGGAACCGGTCATGATCACTGGGTCAATACGCTTCGCAGGAGCCAGTGATGAGACTGCACGCCTCGATACGATCCATGACCAGTCGAACGAAGGTGACGAGGAGATGCGGCCCATCAAGAGCGATGAAGAGAGCGCTGAGGTCATCACTTATGAGTTATAACTTTTGATTGCTGCGATCAACATGGACTATCCTTATGGACTAATTCTCATAAGATTGGTCATCTAGTATACAGTACATATGCAATGGACCGAGCCCATGCAACCGTTGTAAATGCAATATAAGGTACTGGATGTCACGATGCAATCTAAGTGTGACACAACCATGTTATAGTAATGAGTGAGCGTTCGAGTGCGGTGATGCAGGGTACAGCAGTGATATGGCAAATAGCAATAATCAATAGCAGAGCGGAGGAGGAAAGCGGAGGTTTGTCGAGATCCGGGTCGAAAGCGTCGGATAAAGTGACAAAGGGTATACGGGCAATGCGAACGATGAAGTTTGATACGCGGTGTGGTGTTCCTATGATAAAATGATCTCGTCTGCGGCGATCTTGTTCGCAGTGTATACGTAAATGGAGCGCACAAAAGTGAGCTCTTCTTTCAAATAGCGTGATGATTCGGGTTGCTGCATACTGGCGTCAGAGCCTTCCCGAGGGCGTGAGCGAATAGATAGTACGTCGGTTGAAAGTCTGTGATTGGGAGTGATGGAGGGTTCATTATGAGTAGACTTTTCCATTTCAGGAGTCACTGATGGCCAATTGAAACGCTTGCGACGGAAGCTTTGAATCGGTGAAACATAAGACTTCGAAGGGAATTATTCAGTTGAAGGTACTCACCACTCGTAGTCCCAAATGAGATCATCGAACATTGCGTCATCTAAAAGGGCATTTCCGTCGGCGTCACGGAAGGATTCCTGCACGTACTCATGCAGTGCGGCTTTGCACCCGAGCAGACTCTGCATGTGCTTGCATGCGTGCATCTCAAGCTCGAAAGACCCTAGTTCAATCAACGTATTAGGCCACAGGACCAGTCCGGGAGATTGAGCAGGACGTGAGGGTGGGGGAATTACTGAAAGTCGGGGAGATCGCGTAGTGGGGGAAGTAGCAGTAGAAGAGGGGATACCTAGACGGCCTGCTGCTTTGACACTAATGGATTGTGGTATGGGGGACAGGACGCTCTCTCCACTGGAGCGGTTGCCCTTCTTGCCCTTGTTCTTGTCCCATTCAACAGCAATCCACTGCTTGAAGACTTCCCCTTTCTTCTTCTTCGGGCTCTTGCTGTCTGCGCTCGACACTGACGCTTGATCAGGATCTGAGCCTGAGCCTGAGCCTGAGTCTGGATTAGGCGCAGGAGGTGCGATAGCGAGAGTCATCCCTGCGACTCTCTGGGCGTTATATCGGCCAAAAACATTATCCAGAACTTCCTCCAAGTTTCTTCGTTGGTCTGTGCGGATCTTGTACTTGTTCCAGAGCATATTAACGAACAGGCTCTCGAGATGTTTCGCATTGGATTCATTTCTCGTCCATTCTGACGCAGCATCGTATGACGTGGGATTCTTCGTCTTCAGATAGGGAGCTCCGTGTGCTCTTGAAGTCGTCATCCGCTTCGTCATCTTCGTCATCAGAATCACTGTCATCAAACTCGATGTACGAATGACAGCGGGAAGGAAAAACGCTGGCGGCCGCCGGCGAAGGTGGAGCACGTTCCGGGGAAGGTTTCACGGTTGGGAATAAGGCTTGATCATCAATCAATTCTAGCCGCCCCCCGGGCGCCAAAACTCTCATGACTTCTGTGAGAACCTCTTCCCAACTCTCAAGAGGGATGCACAGGGACAGGTTTGCCATGCGCACGAGATCGAATGTGTCACTAGGGAAGCCCAATCGGTGCCCGATGCTGAGCAATATTTGTAAGTAAAGCTATACAATGGGAAAGACGCGTGTACTCACAAGTTCATTTGCCTCCATTCCACGTTTGATGGGGTAACGATGCCGTCATTCAAACTTGAGGGAGCAATTAAGTCGATGCCGATTATTCTTGCTTTCGGCCAATGTTTTGCAGCTCTGATGGTCCAATGTCCTGCACCACATCCCACGTCAAGAATAGTAGTGGGCGGGCTGTCGTTGAATGTGAGAAATGACGGCGTCCCATTGGTGCTGAGACGTTGTAAGAGAACATCTGAGAAACGATCACTGAGATGGTGGTTGTCAGCTCCGAGCACAGGAATGCGGTAGCAAGATGACTCACTTGTCAAGAAGTGTGCGGTCGTAGGCTTGCATGTAAGGTGCTTGGTGAGGGGGGTAAGGATGATGGATCATGCCTCGTCTTGTGGCGAAGTGATTCTTCGCCTGAAACGCTTTAGCAGGGGAGTGCGTCCCTTGCATTATTTCGATATCTTCATCTCCATCACTAGATAATTCTGTTTCATCCGGGAGAGTGCTTGTGCTCGCACGATGCCGCAAAGTGGTGGACAACGATTCTGACTTCTTTCTCCCTTGAAGAAACGATCTCTTGCGCTTCGACGGATCCCATGACGAGGTGCGATTGAGGGGTGCGAACGCGTCTGCGTCGGAAGGGGTGAAGTGTTTTCCCCCGAACCTGCGCTTTCGGATGGAATCTACATCAGACTGTGGCCCCATGGTGCTAGCGTAGCCAGAGTCAATACTGCTGAAAGAGTTGGGGCGACTGGAAGAGTCGGTCAGAATGTAAGAGTTGTTTGAGAAGTTGTAGAATGACGGTCGCGGGGTCAGAACTAAGCTTTCGGACGAGGAGCACTCGCCGAGAGAATGGGGCTGAAAGGGAGAAAATGGTTGCGATGAAACTGCTAATGCCATGATGTCTAGGCCGGAGCAGAATTAATACGACAACGATTGTGGCCAGTCTAAGCGATTGTGGGCCTTTGTGGACTGCTGGAAGGGTAATGTTTAGTGCAGAAAGCACTGAGGACAAAGGGAATCAGCTGAAGGGTAAAGCGCAGTCTATAAGTGACTATGGAAGACCGGATCGGGTGTGGTGGTCGTTTGAGGACAGGATGGTGGTCCTAGAGAGAAATGAACAAGCTAGCAGCTGATTGATCCAACATGGACTAGGATATGTAATACGATCTTAGAAATTCGTACCTTGTTCATAAATCAGGATCCAGACATACCGGCAAACCCGTGCATCGCCGGGGCATCTAGTAAATTTCCGACAGTTGATCTCATCAGGGAACAATGGCTGTGACGGCTCCGACGCCAACACCCAAGCTAGTATCTAAATTTGGAAGTTTCTCGATCCAAATTAAGCATGCTTCCGCCGGTCACGTTCATTGAAAACTACCGAAACGACTCAAAGAACAAGGACACGAGCTTAACGGGTACAACAACCAGCACAAAGTACTGCAACTCTGCTCCTCGCTTTCAATTCCTCCGTAAATCCGCATTAAACAAGCTTCATATCACGAGCGTCAACTAATGCGATGCCCCAGTACAGCAATAACTCCTGGTGTTCCGTTCGTGACGGCAGATTCCACCCCAGCCCAACGATCATCCCTTTCCCTCTTTTAGATTAAAGGCAAGACGTAATACTATGTACACACTACATACCAAAATCACTAGTTTCCCCATAATCGCTCCAAGATAACGGAAAGTGCCAGGGTAATCCTCAGGTACAAACTCGACCAGCTGATGTGGACGTGATGCGACAAATACCCGATGGTCATATCCGCCTCATCACCGAGAGGATCGCTCACTGCTGTCATTCTCATAGCACTCGACGCCAAATCAACAAGTCAACTTGCCGAGATAAGCTTAGCATCTTCCTGAAGCCACAACGGAAGATCTCCTACCGAAAGCCGCTCGACACGTCCCATGACATGAAGGGTCCTCTCTTGCTTTTTGTGAGTTTGATTCAAGGGCCCTGCACTGTCACTCATACCAGGGTTCATGATAAGCGCAAGGGGATATCTTGACAGCGTAGGTCTCTCAATTGAATACAAACGTCATGATTATCAACACATCTCAGGAATGTATTACAAACTGGCACGTTTGAATGTCATCAGGTCGTGAGCACCCACAAATGCTAAGGAAACCTGTGACGAAAAGGGATTCCCCATGAATACAGTCCCTGTACCTGGCGGAGGTACGATGAAAGAAGTATATAAGAAAGTTCAATCTTCGTCTTTCTTGGGAGGGGGGCCACAGGGCTGCAGCATTCGCTAATGGATTTATCAACCCATGATCATGATCCAAGTTTTTAGAACCAGCTGACATACCTCTGTCATTTCAAACTTTGTCCGGCCAATAGCTTCTCCGTCTGCAAGAGCCAGATACGAAAGCAATGACGGGTGTCCTACGATAGAAGATAACGTATCTCTATGTTGATGTGTGATCCAGTCACTATTATTGCGTGCTTAGTACTTAGTGTGGGTAATACAGATTCAAATGGCTGGCGTACTATTTTGTCAAGTCTGCGTGACCTGAAGGAGTAAGGCAACATCAGAAACGAACCACTGAGATATTAAAAAAACGGAACATACCAGTTCCTGTGTAACGAGCGTGTACTGAAAGAAGGAAGGGTGAGATACATTACATTGAACGACAAATGGTACTCACGGTGCTCCAGTTGCGTGTTAGCAGTATACCTGAGTTCAGAGGACTGCGCATAAATCAGTCAGAATAGTCAGATTATAGAACTGACTAAACTCACCATGATCGTTGAGAGAAAGGAGTTGATTTCGATGATTTCACAATTAAATATTTGATTTATTTTTACTCTACGAGATATGTCCACGTGCCTTGTCTCAAAGACTACTGTGACGAAGAAACACTTTGTCTTCCTTCAATTGGTCTGGCTCAAGTCTGGCTCGTTAACGTTCTGCGGAAAAATTTGCGGCTTATTTAGCAAAAGCATGGCTTCCAACGAGGACAGACTACGAACCAAAGTAGCCAACCTCAACGCCTCTCTCGATGACCTCGAAATTCAGCTCGAGCCTCTATTCACCAAGAGCCTTCCCGAGACTCTTGTAGCCCTCGAAACCATCCAGCAGGCCAAATTGCAAGTGGTTCTTCCATATGTACTATACGATCTTGTATTTGGTGCGTATTCATCGTCAAACACTAGCTAGCTCGTCCAGAGTTGCTAATCTCACATACAGTATACCTGAAAACACGAGGAATCGATCCCAGGACGCATCCTGTCATCGGTGAATTGGTGCGCTCGTCTCTTGTAGTGCAGGTTCTGACACATCTGATGCTCGTGGTCGCGTCAGGACCGCGTCCGTCAATACTTTGACAAAATCAAAAGCGCAGAAGATTCCGAAGAGAAAAGTAAGGATCCTTTGTGCCCAACGTTGACTCTCATTTTAATTGTCCCACCCGTTTTTAGAGAGGCTCGGTATCGATAAAGCAGCTGCTGGCAGGTTTATTAAACACGCTATCGCCCAAGCAAAGCTAGTAAAAGTTGGAGAACCAAACAATACGGCACATGGACCTGCTTCTACTAGCAGTGAACGTGTTCCAGTTAAAATTACCAGCAAAATGGCGGAGCGTGCAGAGTACGGGAAGAACCTGGAGGAAATGGGTAGTGAAGAAGAAGAAGACCTTGAAGTATTCGATGAGGCTGAGATGTCGGGCGACGAGGACGCGATGGAAGAAGAAGCGCTGCCACCACAGGACAAGGGGAAATCACGAATGGTCGAAAGAGAAGTCCCAGAAACCGAAGGAACAAGTAGGTGGCAGACGGAAACGACCACGGATGGATCCTTTCGCAGCCTCAGGTAAGTCTCGACCTTGATCTCTTTCGTAGTCCCTACCAAAACTCACCCATTCACAGGATACGGAGATGATGATAATTCTTCAAAGTCCGAGAAACCAAAGAAGCCGAAAAAGAAGTCGCCCGCATCCGTCTTACCCATAGCAGATAGTGTCTCGGCTGCCCATACACCAGATCAGTCAGGACAAAGTACTCCTTTATCAGCAGCTGACGAAGCGCAGCAACGAAAAGCAGGAAAGAAAGCAAGGCGGAAGGAGAAGAAATCGTCAAGTTAACACCAGCCACGTACTGGGACCACTATCTCCTGGGCCCTTCTCTCATTCTACACATCATGGTCTGAAATAATACAGTTAACCTACTCGTGATCAACAGGGAAATATCAGTAATACATCGAAGAACGCTCGTTGTGTGGATAAAGTGCACAATCAGCTTTGTAAAACAGACCAAAGAAAATATTAAAGCGTACAAGTATAAGGATCCTACATCATGACACATCCCTCTCGCTCGCTAACTACCCCATCTGGGGTGTCACTACCAGACGAACGCCTCCCACTACTGGGAGACCACCACCGCAAGCGCCCCGAAGTTTGGGCAACGTCCTCAAGATTATCTGATCCCGCACGCCGAGAATTTCGCCGATGCCGTCCCCGCGCAGCTTGAACAGCATCCACAGTTTGCCAATTATAAAACGACTTCAACACAATGCGCTTCTCATCGCACTCATCCTGTCCCTGCTTTCAGTTCTTCCTTATCCCGACCGTCCAGGTACGCGAGCTTCCGCGCGTCCCAGGCACACCAGCCTTTGCGAGGGCGAGTTATCGCAGCAACGTCCTTGACGGAGCCCTCACCCACAGCACGGCAGTCGATAGCAACCAAAGCTGCATCGGACGCATTCCGTTCGCGCGCTCGTCGCACGAACTCTTTGAGGACATCCCCGGATATGGACGTGCTATCTGCCTCCAACACCTTAAGGCGAGGGCAATTGCGGATGAGAGAAAGGAAGGCCTCGTTGCTGATGCTGACAGCAAACGACACAACCAGGTGCTCCAGTGCCTGCCCTGTCTGCAGGGGCTGTGTTGACTCTGATCCGGAGCCCCTTGGTGGACTGGGGGTCAGTGCGCTCAGAACGGTATCGGTGATATCCGCGTCATCCTCAAGGTCCAGCTTTCGGAGAAGTGGCGTGGTTTCCAAAAGCCTCACAAGCCCCTCATCCTTCATCGCCGTCCCAATGCCCGCCAGTTCCAACAACTCCAGACGCGGCACTGCATGCGCTAGATTGGAGCATGCGATATCTGTAAGCAGCTTGCAGTTCGAGAGCGACAGATGTCGGAGTTTCGTGATTCGCCTCCGGTAGCGCCCATTATCACGCGCTTCCCGCCCTGCCTCACGCGCAGTCAGCACCACGCTCTCCGTTGACTTCTCTTCTTCTGTACACGCCACAAAAGCCTCCAGCGCTGAGTTGTGCAGAGAACGAGAATAGCTCAGATCGAGGATTTCCAACGAGGGTGCCGCTCTGCCTAAAACTCCCAGGACCTCGTCATAAATACCCTCCAATCCGCATAGCCTAAGCTCTTTCAGTGCAAGCTGGCCGTGGTGCCCTAGCACGGCATTTGCATATCTGTGGAGCCCGTCTCCGTTAATATTGGAACACCGACTCATGTTCAGGGATGTCAGGTGGGGGCAGAGCGCGAGAACATCGAACGTCGTGTTGTCAACGACCTTTAACCCTTTAACACAAAGGCTGCGCAAAAACGGAGAATGGATGACGAGGTTGTGTAATGCTTGCGTAGTCAGCGCACTGCAACCTGTCAGGTTCAAGTCCAAGAGTTGTGTATATGCGAAGTCGATGGTTGGCGCGGAGCGTACACAGAGGCTGGTCGTGACTTGTCCCAGAGTGCTGTGATCAAGCTTTGTGTGTCCGGTAAGATCCATGTTCTTGACGAATGGTCCAAGCGCCTCTGCAAGACGCAGAAGGAAGGGCGCCGGAAGGTTTGGGAATGCCTTGAGGTCGACATCCATCCACAGCTGGCCATCAAAGACCAGTGAGCGCCACGCCTTTGACACCTGGCACATAACATGAGTCATTGCAGTACTGCAACACCGTGTACATCAGGCTTACCCTGCTCAACTTCACCAGCTCGCGCATCCCACGATCTCTGCCAATCCAGCGGTACTTTGATGAGGATGCCTTTGAGGCAGTCCATCGTCCCGACGACTTCCACAGCTCAAATTCGTCTTCGTGCAGGGAAATTAAGGCTGAGAAGACCTGCAGCTTCAGTTCTCTGGGCAAAGCCTCATCGAAGAGATTTTGCAGGGCCAAAGGCACGGGGGCAAAGACATCACTATTGCCACGAGGAATGATGTCGAAGACAGACTGAGGAAGCGGAGAGGAATATGAGCGGTCTTTGCCTGTGATGCTATTGAGGCTTTCAGGACCATCGGAGCTCTGTTGAATATGGGTTCGTGCGTTTAATGGGAACTCGATGTTCGGACAAGGCTGGAATTCAAGGTTTTTCCATGTTGAATTATCTTGCCCTGCTGTTGCAAGGTCCCCTAAGAAAGGATCCGACACAGAGCCGGCAGGGCTGAGATCTATTGATGTCGCGGCTGCGCTAGCCTTATTCCTGAACAATAATCTGCGGGCAAAGTTGCCCGGGCCCTTGGACGATGAGCCCAGTTTAACTTTAATCCTTGACATGGATCGAGCAGCTAAGGAACGCGTGGAATGAATTGACAAGTTGGATAATGATCGCCTCCGAGAGGGCACTCTCGTCAGTCCCGGAGGCTGTTGTGCACTATTCTCGGAGGCCTGGGAGCCTAAGTGAGACAGACTAGAGGACGCGCAGGGAAGCGAGGTGTGGGTTGAACCGTAAGAGGAAGGTCCCGCAGTTGGAGTCGGCGAGTCAGGATTAGGGGACGGCCAGTCAATGGTGTGATATCGCAGGTTCCTTGTGGAGAATAAGAGAGGAGGCAACGTGTAAGCTAGGTCCTTTGCTTTCCCCTTGTCGGGCAATGAGGCATTCATAAATACACAATCATCATTACTCAATGATGCGGCGAGTTGTACATCGTGGTCTTCTGAGCCCAAAATGTTAATATTATCTGGTGGTACCGATATCGCATCATGTTCCCCTGTAATGGAAACGAATGGTAGCCGAGAAGATGACGAAGTACCCTCGAGAGGTAACTCGATGGTAGGCGGTAATCGTGCAGATATTACAGGGGAATCGCGACTGGAAGCTGCTGTTGGGATGGGCATTGGTAATGAGGGACCTTTGCCCTTGCCCAGCATATCACTAGGTTCTGGATCGTGCTGTCTGCTTGCTTCCATAGGTCGATTTCGTTGGATGGTGTGAGAATCGGATAGAGTGTCTGCTGTGCAGGTGGTGATTGATGTAAGAAACTAACACAAGGAAGAAGGGAACGGACCTTGATCGATCTGATCGTTTGAACTCAACGCTAGTTCAAAAGGATCGAAGGAGAACAACGCATCCTCATTATCGACGCACTTCATAAGATTGATACAATTGGAGGTGATAAAGAGATATAGCCTGACAGAGCAGATAGAGAGAAAGATAAGAGAGACAGAAGAGAGAGAGAGAGGGAGAAAAGCGGAATACACTAGTGTTACAGGACGACAACAGACTTAACTTGTTAGGGCGCCTACGATGACATGGTACGGAGTTCATCGGAACATGTCTTAGGGGCTATACCAATGCACATATGCTGCCATACAAAGTACGTCATTTCCACGATTGATGAATATTGATGCATGATGATGCATCTGATGTACACCACGACGACAACGCTACGGCTTATCTATTTCCGATACAAATTGAACTCACTTGAGCGTTCACGTTCAGAGTTCAGAGGCTCCACGCGCGCTCTCCAGCTGATTCAATTGATAACAGGGTGGAATTTCCAGCAGAATCTCTGAGACAGCCTATTTCATTATTACTTATTTTAGAGGGTGTTCGCTTTCAAACAATAGTAACTTAGCTACAAGTCCACGTGAATGTATCGGTCTGGCTGTCTGGCAAAGACCTAGGCGTCAGGTGATTGTATAAATCGGCAGAACAACCTATGTCGTGTCATGATCTCATCGTGGTTCAAGTTGACCCCCAATCTGAATACTCCAAACGTTATTACCCCTTGCCACTTGTCAATGCGGTGAAGACATAAGCACCCGACGCAGAAGAGCAACAAAATAATTGCAATGCAAAGTCAACTAGCAGCGTGAATACGATGAAATTAGTAGCAACACTAAGCACAATGACAACGAAAACCCCGAACAGAAAAATCACAGAAAGAGGGCTACAGAAAGAATGACAGGCGATATGAATAATACTCGGCAAGGAATGCGCAGCTTAACAGTCAAATGTGAAGATATAGCACGACGGAAGCGAGCGTCAACAAGTAAACAGGAGGCCAAGGGACGAGGAAAGCGCAAAGCAGTAATCGATCGTAGCGATGTGGTGATATAGGAATCAGGCAGTAGCCCTGGGGTTTTCTTTTGCTTTCTTCCAGTTAGACGTTGCTAATTTGAACCTACAGATTGGTGGATTAGCAGACAGACGTAGAGGCGGGAAAGTTAGTCTACCTGTCTTGGTGGGACATGTCAGGTTCGTCCTCCTTCAACCGGGCCATCTCAGTTTGCATGAATTTGTTAAATGCGCTGAGTTTTTTCCTCCCGCCTAAGCCGGACGACTCTAAAGAGAAAATGAACAAATAAGCGATCAACTACATATTTGATGGCGACGGGGACATACTGGTCTTTTTTGCGGGTTTCTCAGACACGCTCTTCGATTCTGTTCGGGGGGCCATAGTTCAAGTAAGAACAAGCAATTCGGGTGTAAGCGAGAAAATGCGGTTAATGCGAACTCGTTGAGGACGCTGATAAAAGGGGCAGTGCACGGTTCGACCCGTAAGCTAGCTAGAAAGCCTCGTCAATATTGAGTTAGTAAAGAGGATAATAATCGGGTCGGCTTACCGTTGAGATCGGCAAAAGTTGAAAGGTATGTGAAAAGGGGACGTGGGTGTGGTCTGTTGAAGAGAGGAAAGGTTCATATTGGCTCAAGTTTGGCGGACCTTTTTCTTCGTAAGTTGTTGACCCGGTGAGGGCTCGCGCCAGATGGGACCCCGGTCACTGTAGTTAACGTAATAACAAAAAATATTTAACAAAAAATGTATTTAAGAAGAACCTTGTCCGTCACAGCAACCCTGCAGGTGCACTTGGCCATCGAAGAAACGGTGAAACCAGCGACCATGCACTTGTCAACTGTCATTTTCAGTTACCATCCCCCATGGGTAAATGCACACGTTTTCTGTCAACTTAGAGTCGAATTGGGATCTCGTTAATTAGACTACGATGTCATCGCAATTCGGCTGCTCAGTGGAGAAGACCAAGTAGCTTAGAGTAGCTTTCGTATCGACCCCACCAAGTACCAGGGGTCCAGAAATCAAAGCTGGGCAAACAAACGCGTCGCGTCGGTGTTGATCCAAGTCTGGGCCGGGATACGAAATATTCAAACTCGTATCCATGCTTCTAAGATTGCAAACTCTCTACCAACTCCACATTTCTTCATCCCTAAGGCAACAAACCTAGTGAGGATCCCTTTTTTAGACTCAATTCTTCCTGTATTGATCAGCAATATGTACGACATGCGTGGCAGTCGGTGGAAAAAACAAGTAGATCTTTTTAGCACTAGATCAAAGTTTACAGCCATGAGTATATATATACTCTACCAGCTGTCTGCTTCATCGAACACTACTAGGTGTTCACGTCCTTAGTTGCAGAAAGGTTCTTCCCAGTGCTTGCAATGCTATCGACTAAGCTATTCCCACTCACAATCCCCGTCGTGACGATGAGGAATTTACGACCTGCCGAAAAGTCAACATCATCTCTACGCTAGAGTGCAATGAAATGTCACCTTTGTTTTGTCGGCTAACCCAACGAAGGGCAGCAATCTCAGTATACGTACATCCACCCAGGAAAAATACGGCAGTTGTGGTCGTTTGCTCCTGTGGGCGCACTATTTGGGTATCTATGTAAGCATAGTGGAGTGCCTGTGAATGATACCGACCCGGAGACTTACTCAAGGAAGTAACGGAAGAAGCTGTAGAATTGGCAGATGCAGGCACCTTCTGTGCAATGTCAAACGTCTTTCCCGGGATCGTGCCTAACACGTCCTCAAAGCCTTTCCAGCCCACAATCGGATGCGCATGGAGTTTTCTGGCGCTAGACCCTTTGCCCTTGCCATTCCCGTCGTCTGCACTGCTCCTCTCTGCAGGGTTACTGATGACTCCACTCTTCTGGGCAACACATTGTACCAGCCGGATACTAATAGGCGCGTATCCAGAGTATGTATAACTGATATCATTTTCAACCTCCTCCAGTGCTTCAGGGTTATCGTCAATAAGAAGTCGGAGTGATTTGCGTAGGGTTATGAAGGGGTATTTATTTCCTGCGACAGCGGGAGCAGCGGAAATTGGGAGGGGATTGGGCAGCAGAATAGCCAAAGGGGGCGCCGCTAGCGAGAGAAGCAGGGGGAGGTAATTATACCCGTAAGCCTGTAAGATGGATTGTGAGCTTCACAATAAGCACGGGCAAAACCGAGTGAGATTACTTGGAGAAGCTCGCGTTTTACACTGTCCAAAGATTTAGCCTTGATTCCACCACTAGTAATGCTGGCGAGGCACAACAGTCGTACGATAGTCTGCATGCTTGCACCTTGTGCAATCATATCTTCGACTGCACTAATCTGAGCTGAGACCTCATACGATGCCAGAAGATCTATTTTTGGATATCAAATCCAAGAGGAATTCCATGAGCAAATGTGCTTACTCTGCTGCACTTCAAGCGATTTGTTAAATAGTTCCGTGCGTGTCTTCAGAGAGAGCATCTCCGATAGGCCAGTATCTTTGCAGAGAAATGAGAATATTCCTAGAAAACAGAAAAAGTTGCCCTTACGAAGTCTCAGCGCCTGGTGTTCACCTTGAAGACCACCAAGTTTGCCAACAAAGTCGCGAATCTGCGCGACAGTCTTCGCTTGTAACCGAGCCTTTTCTTTGTCAATGACTGTATCAAGGCAATGAGTGGAAGTACACACTTTGTAGTCTTCATCTAATCGGTGTGCCACTTTGCTGAGTCTTTTCCCTACCGATGAAAAGTTCAAGTCGCGCAGCTCAGCCAATAGCGGGTCGGAGGCAGTCGAGAGGTGGTGCTTCTTCGTCTTTTCATTAATAAGTGGAGTGATAGACGCAGATCCTGATGGGGTGGCGTTGGGATTCGAAGGGTTAGGTGCAGCGGGGACGGTGAGGAGGCTGACTGGTAGTTCAACATGAGCTACGAATATGTCAATATCGGTCATGTTCTCGCATCTTGCGGATAGCTGCTTACAGTTCTTGAGACCAATAAACTCGTCGACGAGGCCTTCGTATGTCAGCTGGGTTAGAAGCGGTGTGACCATATCAACAGTGCGGTCAATGATAATGAGCGAGTCAAACGGCGCAGAAGGTATCGAGGGGTCTGACAAGGGAGAAGGTTGATCAGGTAGCGATTTCGTAAGAAGGGTTGCCAACCGCTATACAGAATGGCTTCATCTGGAGCTATGCAGGAGTATGGAAGCGCATACCGAAGCATAGTCCCCCTTTCCTAATATACGAGGGAAGCGACCGTACACCTTCTGCAACGAGTTGAGTGCTAACGCAGAGTTATAGATCACGGTTTCGTCGCCATCCTGAATGGACTGAGCTACGCTACACCGTTAATATGTGGATGATGAGCATACCACCCATAACTCCTTGAACGCGGCATCGTTCTCGAGCGAGATAACATCGTCCGCAATCGGAATGAACTGCAAGTTGTAGGAAGATATAGTAATATCGCCAAGAATGCCCTCTTCCTCGAGTATCCGTGATACTAGAGTAGAGATGCGAGGTACAAGGAAGAGTGTATATCTGTGCTTTTGCGACTCTCGAATATGGGTTTTGACCTGATCTGCATGCACTGAGTCCACTGCACGACCGAACACAAAAAGGAAGTTCAGACCTGCGATAATCTTGACGTACTTGATTAGCGGGCGACAAAGGTACACGACATTTGTTGCCGTCGAGGTCAATGGGCCTGGCTCAAGCCAGAACATCTTGTCCACGCCATGGTGCTAATGATGAAGTGAATCACGCAATCAACATTGTGACAGTGCAAAGAAGTACCTTCAAAAGTGCGACTTCTGTGACGAGTCCCAAAGGCCCCGCAAGAGTAGGGTCAAGCACGAGCGTCTTCACGCCATTTACCTGTACATAATGAACCTTCAGTTCACTCGAAACAGATGTACGGGAACCAAAGGGCGCACCGCGTTTAGAGTGTCGATCAAGGCCTTTCTTGCCGTGTCCTTGAGCAACTCTACGTCCAACCTGGGCTCGTTATCTCGCTCGGTCCCATATGAGGTCTGCGCGTCAGATGCTGATGCGGACGCGGCTGCCATGTTGTGGAGAACGTGCAATGACACAGCCACTCATACTAAACTCTTCGGTCCGCAGTCTCCCGGTGACATTTCCCAAATCCTTCTTTGGCAAATTCAGCCTACAAACCGTTACGTCGTATCAAACGTTCATTAACTCCCTAGCCTATAAGGACTGCCAGTCCCTGAACGCATTGACTAACAAGCTGAATCGTAGACGCTCAAAGCTGGCGTGAACATAGGGACGTCGTCCATCATGGAGCATGCCTCCAATTCACCCGAGTATGACGGAAGACATCCTCTTCTCTCCCTCCTCTCTGCCTTTTTCTGGGTGATATGTAGGCCAATGTCGTTCTCTTATTCGCGTATCAGATGAAGCTTACGGTACGGTATTCCGGCAGTATGGTTCCTATCACGGGCGAAAGCTTTGATAGCATTTTCCACCATCACTATTCCTCGTCTCATCTACTTTGCTCTGTCCTATTCTATGACGTTAACAGTCAGTGGTTTCCAAGATTGCTGCTTGAAATATAAATCGCTCACACTTACTTAGCTAAATTTTTGGTCATTTGCCATCATATTTTTAGCTTCAGCAGTTGCCTTGAATTATTGGATACGCCTTCGATACCTTAACACGTACTCCTCACTGAAAGAGCCGCCGTTGGTGAAGCCTGACGTGAATGCACTTCACCCAGATGTGAATACAACAGAGCCTCCCCCAGCATTTCACAACTACTTGGACGATTTTCTGCAAGCTGTCCGTGTCTTCGGATTTCTTGAGAAGCCGGTGAGTAATCCGCATCGTCTATGTTGATCAACCCATCATATCTTAACAGGTATTCCATGAATTGGCAAGGCATCTTGCAACGAGACGCTTAATCGCCGGGGATAGTATCTCTTTGGACGAAGACAGGAGCTTCTATTGCGTCGTTGATGGCATGGTCCAGGTATACGCTCAAACAGGCCAGAATAATTGCCAAAATGGGACATGGGACGAGGAGGATATGAACGGATACCAGCTTATCAATGAAGTTGGGAGTGGTGGAACCCTGTCTAGCTTATTCAGCATTCTCAGCTTGTTCACTGAGCACATAAAGATAAGCTGGCAAGAAGATGGTCACTCCGATGCTCTTGGAAGAAATCCTGTAAGTGGAGTGGGAGGAACACCTCGATCACGTACTGTCCGCGCGGATTCGGACGTGTCTCGCTTTAGCCTAGATTACGCATCCGTGGCTTCCCGACCTTCCCGTGCTACATCCATCTCGTCGTCTGGTTCCACCGCTCATCCCGCAGACGCGACTTCTCCCGTTGGTCCGACGCCCCCGTATCACATCGGAGACAGGTTTAGGTCGCCGCAACGGCGCGCTTCCCGCTCGCGATCAGACTCTAATCCTACGACCCAACTCCACCATGGTATCGTGGCCAGGGCGAAAGAGGACAGTACATTGGCCTTCATCCCTGCAGAAGCATTTCGCAGAGTTGCAAAGAAGTTTCCCAAGGCAACCAGTCATATCGTACAAGGTATAATTTCTGCGAGATCAAATTCTCACTTTGTGCTCATGATATTTTCAGTAATCCTGACCCGCTTTTCGCGTGTTACATTCAATGCGGCACACAGAT